AACCAATGAGACAGGAAAGGTGATCCAGGGCTGCAAGAGACAAACCACCAAAGACTATCAAATTCATGAGTCATATCCAGCCTGTGAGATGTCTCAGCCCACTTTTTGTTTTTGAAGAAAGAAAGGGCAAAGTGCACTTAAACTCTCACAACAGCTTGTGAACAGCTCAGTACAGTGAGTTCAAATTGCCAGTGTTGCTGCCTGAATAGGAGGGCTGAGCTTCAAGCCCCTGTCCTCCTGAGCATGCAGTCAAGACTTTTGAAGACCATATCTCAGGCATCTAACAAGGTGTGACACCCAAAAGAGTTTAGAGAACCCTCTCATCTCAGGTTTGCATTTTTAAAGAAAACATTGATTTAGAAAGAATACTAGCATGCAGTCAATCCTCAAAATCTACATTAAGTGGGATGTGAGACCACATTTTCTCTCCAAGTATCTTGAAGTTTCACTGATGAATTGGTCAAGTTATTAGTGCTCCTGTAACCTCAACCCCTTTCATAACCCTGGTTTATTCTGGCATTTGACAGTGGTGTAGGTTAGCCTCTCTTTGACCTGGTTCTGCAATATTTTCACCAGCTCTGATTTTATGGGGAACAAGAGGAACCTCAGCAGCTGAGGTTTAACCTCTTTAGGTTCTCTGCTGGTTTAAAGTTACAACTTCTGGTACTTTCTATAACCTCTCTTTGGCATACTGTTGCCTGAGAAACCAGTGTAACATCACTGAGGAATTGTGGCTGTACTTACTGCTCTCAGCCTTTTAGGATGGCAGTGGGCTATTTATGCTCAAAAATGGAACACTTTGGTCATCTGCTAGTTCAGTGGAGCCCAGTCTCACCAAGGCTGCTATCCCACAAGAATTTCAACAGTCATGTCCCACCTTTCCTTGTGCTCCTGCTCATCTAATGAACAAGCTGGCAGAGTCAACATGCTCAAAACCAACTACCTGTAGGAGTGGTCACGTTTTGGTTGACACTCCAATGACTGGGATGAGTACCAGTGCTGGGAACAGAGGAGGCAGGCACATCACCCAGGACGGCAGTGTCCATGCCAATCAGATTATGATTTATCTCCATGTTTGATGCCAAGATCTCCCATTTCTCTACTGGTAGCTGCTGCTGTTTTGCACAAGTTTATAAGACTACTTAGTTCTCTGATGCCATAAAATCACTTATCTTGGCGTAACCTTTCCCATTTGTTGCATTTTGGCTGGAAGAATTTTTGAGGAAAAAAGTGTCTAGGAACAAAAGCAGCTCCTGAACAGACAGAGCAGAAGACAGGACAGTGAGCCTAGCACAAGCACAGATGCTTTTCCTGGTACATTTAGGTGAGAAAGGTTTCCCATTTCCCACGCAGTCCTCAGCCTCCCCACAGAGAGCAGCCTTCTAGCATGAACCTTGCAGCAGGGGAAAGCTCCACTTTCTGTTTGGTTTTGTGTTTCCCTGGCCCTTTGGTCAGCTCTCCTTTGTTTCAGAGTCCTTCTGCTCTCCAGAGTGCAGTTGCTGATCTACCAGACAGGGACCACCATGAGTGTCTCCCAAACAGCCCAGGCTGGAAGAGCATTTCCCAGACAACCCCCCCTGTAACCCTCACTGCTGCTAGGTTACGAGGCCCTGGCATGAAGAAATGCAGCAGTACTGAGAACATCACCTGGGACTTTCACAGCACACATCTGGGTCCTTGTAACAGCACTGGGGCAAGTACCATGGGCATATGTGTGTGATTCCCTTCCTTGCAGCTTCCTACTGAGTTTCTCTGGGTAGCTGAAGCACATAGGGCACATATTCTCAGACATGCATGAAATGGCTCTCTGAACCTCTTCAATTGTTTCACAGGCTCTAAACAGCATCCTGTTCTATTCCTCACCAATATACAGTCAGATGTGATGGAGCTGCATTCCCCTGACCTCTCCCAGCACTTGTAAGCCCCACTGACTATGGCTGCTCTCACAGTTTAGTTTAATTTGTGCTTCTGTTGTCTCTCCTGGAGGCCTGCAACTGCCAGTATTCCTACTTAGACAAGGGATGCTTGCTGATTATTTCTACTAGGCTCTTCTCCATGAGATGAGGGTTTTCTACTTGTGGGGGCCACCTCATCACTTGTTTAGAGGTCCACCTCTTCTCTGCTTTGGTGCAGCCCTACAACACTATTTCACTTTAAAAAAGGACTTAATTGTCAATTTTTATCAAATCAGATTACCTCCTACAGAATGTTAAATGATTATGGTGAGTAAACAAATCTTTCAGGTCACAGGAGTGGTGGCATGGGATGAAAACCTGCCTCCCATGCAGCTTTTCCCTCCCCACATCTCCCTGGCAGTGCATCTGAAGACAAACTGTCCTGGCACATATGTTTCCTTATATAGGGGATTATAGAAAGAACATGTGACCAATGGAAAACACTGACCATGACCCCATGGCAACTACCCTATCCTCCCACAATGCCCTTGCACAAACACTTCTTGGGTTTTTGCTTTGCACACTTTATCCTTGCTCATCATGCACTGGGAGTGTCAGCAGCTGTTTGTGCATCACCTGCTGCCTTATCCCACTTTATGGGCTGTAGTCACTGCTGTTTGTCTTTCCCTGCATCCAGGAGGTGATAAGCAGATGCCTGCTCCTACAAAGACTCTCAGACTATCTTTTACTGCCCTTCTAACTGCTGCTAAAAGCAAAAAGAATAAAAAAACAGGATTGCCAAAAGACAGCTATTTTGACATTTAAAATATTTTGATACTGAGTGAGACTAAAGGTTCTGAACCAGTATTTGCTTCTGATTGTTTTTCTTGGTTTTTTAATCAAAGCAGAGAGAAATAAAATCCTAAATACTACGGGTAAACAGCAGGATTAAAAAAAAACTATAATCTGCTCATTTCATGCTTCTTGGACAGCAGCAGCAGTGGCTTCTGTCATATTTCCAATGTCCAAATAATGCTGACTCTTTTTTGTCTTATTTGATGCTCTAGCCAGACAGAAACATTAACAATTAGTAGCACTGTTATCATTTGACAGCCTGGAAATATGAAGAAGACAGGAGGAGAAGGAAGATGAAAAACCTCTTAGCATTTTGACTGAAGTAATTTTGATAGAACCTTCTTTCTTTGAAAGGAAAGCCACTGTTCCTCCAGCAGGGGCGAGGACAGGGCTGCTTACGCAAGTGCTGACCTGCACGGGCAGGTGAGCAGGGCAGCAGCACTGAGCCCGCTCTCCTCCCGCCTGCCAGCACGCAAAGGGACAGCCTGTCCAGCCAAAACAGGAACTCTTGGGTGGGAGTTCATGCCTGAGCAGAGGCACAGGGCAGTTGGCCACCACACTGCCTTCATCTGGCCAGAGAGTTCAGGCAGAGACTGACCATAGCCTCTGCTTAAATCAATGGCAATGAGCCATGTTCTGTTTAATCCCATTTTTAAAAGCAAGAATGTTTCTAGACTCTTCTGGGAAACGTAGTGGCTGATATGGAAGCTCCCATCACCCATTTCTAAATTGTGGGAACCATGGAAACAAAAAGCAGCTACAGCTGCTGGTGCACAATCCCCATGACTTTAGCCAATGCACCTCGTAAACCAAAAAAAGGACCATGAAAACAAACAAGACTGAACAATCTGAGTGCATACTATGGCTTTCTGCTACAGGGCAGGTAGGGCAAAGATTTCAAAGCCTGTTCATGTGCATTTTGCAGAAGTAGAGCCCACAGACACTGGGGCTCACAGATCTGTCAGGGTGGAACAGATGCAGCATTTGGCATCTCTGTTCATGCTCTGATGACCCAGAGCTGCAGACATGTTTACAACTGTGCATGAAAAATGCATCCCTAAACAAAAGAAATCTAAAGGCAAATATTGTTTTTATGCTGCGTGACCTTGACTGGATGTTGTGGCAGAGGAGAGGGGAGCTGCCAAAGCCTGGCCACAGAAACAATTAACCCTTTGGGAGCAAGGGGTTCGACAGCCAAGAAGACATAATTATGAGGCATCCCAGTGCTCTTATCACTTCCTAGGAAGAGATGAGCCGCAGAACAGGTCCCAACCCAGAAGTGTGGAGACATTACACCATGCTGGATGTGACAATGCTCTACAAAAAACATCACTTCATATCCAAATAAGACATGTTTTCAACACCCAGTGCTGTTTTGTGCACAAAATACAGCATGAACCAACGATTTTCTATTTTTCAGTTATCTGATAATCACTGGATCAGACTGGTCCCCGTACAGCTGCACTATCACCAGCAACATTATTTATACATAAACCTCCAGCCTTCTTCTGCAGCCAGATTTTCCAGGTAGGTAATTGTTGTTCCCACTGAAGCAAAACTGGCTTGTTTTCAATGACATGCATCTGCACTGCTATTATACAGCAGACTGCCTCAGTCAAGATTTTCCAGCACAAAGATGAGAAAAAAAAATTATCCTTTTCTTTTGTATTTTTCACCTCATATTTAGCATTCCACCTAATTTAATTGCAGATTCTGCAGTCATAGGAGTGAGGGGAGGTGGGGGGGGGGGGGGGGGGGAATTGCAGAGAAGCCTTTTTTCTCCCAGAAACAGAAACTAAGTAGATGAGATAGACATGAGATAGCAGTCTTGTCTTGCTGGTTAAATCACTTTCCCCCAGCTCTCGCCCATCTAATACTGCAGCATTCTCAGTCCCCAAATGTACCATCTGAGTAGTGCATTCATTAGAGTGTCTGCAGCTCCTGATCACTGACAGATGCAATCTTATCAACTGCCACATTCAAGCAAAACTGCCTTTTCCCCCCAGTCGTCCAGTGGCCTGAATTCAGCAGTGCTGACAGCCCTACGCTGCCTTGCATCGAGGATGCACCCACAGTTAGGAGGTAGATGCTTCCCCTCCAGCATCTTTCATCCCTTCATAAACAGGCAAAGACAGCAGCTTTTAGCCAGCGACCTAAGGCAAAGAGAATGCAAGCGAGGCGGGTACAGCAAGGAAAAAACAAGCCCTGTTCTCAACAGAAAAAGGATGTAAATGGGATGCATTTACTTACATGACGATTCAGTGCCAAACATGGCTCACCCCAGATGCTGCTATTTTAAAAAGGAAAGAAGAAAAAAGAGTGGAAGACAGAGGGAGCGTATGAGAGAGGGGATGAGACTGCTACACAGCAGGGGTCACGAAGCCAGACAATGCAGTCCAGGCTATCCAAGCTGCCAGATTCTCCTCTCTCCTCCGCTCAACACCGCAGACAGCTTTTCCTTGCAACCGCAGTGAAGGTCCTTCTACAGGAAGCAAAAAGCAGGAGGCTCTGTTTTAAATCCGAGCGATAAGGGCAGGCCGTTGTCCCCTCTGCGATAGCGGCAGGCAGAAAGAGGCATCAGCAGCAGATACTGCAATCCCCAGCCCGGCTCGCCTAAGACAATAGCGGAGCTCAGGCACACACGGGATGACGTCAGGACACTGCAAAGACCGACTGCTGCTAACCCAGAGGCTCGCAGGGGGCTCGGACACAGCCCGGCGACTCAGATGGGAATTCCTTTGTCACAAACAGCAGAGGACAAAGAGCCAGACATCTATTTCCCTCGGTGATGCTAACGCTCCCACCCCGGATGGCAATGCTAGCAGGAAAATACCTCCCTTGAATTCGTGCTCCTCTTCTCAGCTGCACAAGATGCAAAGTGTCTCTATGCAAAAAGAGTAAATTTCAGGGACAAATATCCTAGTAAATGCCACTTACAGCATTTTCAGTAAAGAATAACCCCAAATTTCTATCACAAACTCTCCATTATTTTTCCCTCAAAGAAATACTAAACTCCTGGGCCAGTCTACACTCCAGACCTAATTCTCCCATCAAAGTGTTAGCCAATTGTCTCTTTTACTTAAATTTATTGTCAATATACTGTAGCAATGCTCTAATCACAATAAATGAGTCACACATCTAAATAAAAATAAAAACCCAGAGCACACTGAATTCAATGATAAAAAGGCATCCTAGCAACCAAAGAAATACTGCCCTTAATTTTTCTTTATTCTTCAAAACCAACTAGATCTTGTGTGCATTTGCAAGTGCATTATTTAGTGTACTAAGCTTATTTTTTTCCTGACATTTAGCAATTGAAAAATGTTCAAACATAGACACAAAGCCCTAAGCTCACTCCTTCGGTCCTCTCACAGACAAAAGGAATTAACTGTCTTGTGCTGGTAAAAGCCAAACAGGAAGCTACCAGACCTTGGGAGCCATCCACAGAATGGCTGTCCAGAGGGGGCAAAACCAAGAACATTTCTGCAAAGTCTCATTGAACATGTACATGCAGTTCCCAAGATGTCAGACAGTGGAAAGTACTTCTGGTGAATGAGGAGAAAGGAGATAGATGCAGGTCAATTACGGGAAGCACTTACAGGCAAGCAACCATTCCTCCTCCCATTTCTCAATTCTTGTGGGTTAACCATTCCCAAACACTCCTGCTGCCCTGCATGCCAGGGGGGTTTGTGCAGCTTGCAGAACACCCAATAGTACCACAATCAGCAGGCCACAAAAACAAGTCCTACTGAAGGCTGGCAGCACCTGCCACCTGAGGAGCGCAGAATGCTGGAATCATTAAGGAACCAGGGAAGTGTTGGCTGGGAATAATTAGGGAACCAGGGAGGTGTTGGCTGGGATCACTGCAGCCTGAAGGACACAAGACAGCCTGTGCTTCCCACAGCAGTGGAGGCCACCTACAAGAGGCACACAAAGCTACTGTCCTGGTTAACATCTGCTGGCACAAAATGCCCTTCAGCTGTTTCCTTGCTTTCCATTCCACACATTGAACAGTCAGCTTTGTGTTCTGTGCACACCATAAGAATAGTTAGGGCCACCAAGCTCATGGTAACATTTACGTGCGTTTCATTGCTGGAAGAAAGTCAGGAGAGAGGCCATATCTTGTGGCGAGACATCTCATGACACACTTTCTAACAGGCAGATTTTAGTCTCCATCAGCAGACAAGACAGTGCTCATAATCATACTCAAATCATAATCAAACTCAAACCCAGAGATGCCTTAAATTAACCAGATGTCCTCAAATATGTACTTAAGCACCTGAATTAATAGCTGTTCAATTGTCATTATTATTTGAAATCACATGCATGGATGCACAGCACCAAGAAGCCACATCCAAATTGGTTTGGACCATGACAGTAGCACAAATTCTCTTACAAGGACTGTAGGTTTGCTGTTCATAGAATTGAATTGGTAATTTTGACTATTTGGAGCAGTTAACACCTCCTTCAGTCAAAACAGGTTGATAAGAAGCTTCAATGCATCAAACAAAGTATGTTTTGGCAGGACTTTCCAGCAACTGAGGCAAGTTTACAAAAGAAATGAGTCTATTACATATCTGTAAGACTCCAAGCATCTTTGAATATAGGTCTCTGGAACAAAATCCCAAGTGCACTCATGCAATGGCTGAAGAATAGGTTATGCTCTGATGAGCAGATCTGACCTTCCCACGGCATTGTTTCCAAGGAATAGACAAAACCTCAGGGCTTTTCCAATGACATCCTTGAAGGTGTCACTGAGCCCAGGCTCTCTGCCAAGTTCTCAGTACCCTGACGCATATAGGTAGTTGGAAAGCCTAAACAACTAATGCAGTATCTCTGGAAGGATTTCATAATAATCTATTTCATTAGTCTTAGCCTTGGCAGGTCAGTACATTACTGGTGGGAAAGGTGACCTACTACAGGCCACTGAAGGATTTTCTCTAAAATTCTTTCATATTTAACTAAAATATTTTGTCAAATGACTTTGCGAAAGAGTTAAAATCTGTTTCTGACCTACTGCTCTTTTAAGACCATAACCTTTCAGCTTGTTAGCAGAATTAGGGATTTGTTTCCAATGCTGAACATTGTTATTGGTTTATACTGCAAAAGATCAACAAATGTTTTTTCTCTCTTATGCAGCAGCGAAGATAATGTAATTAGTGTACATAAAATGTCAAAGGAAATCTGCAGCCAGCACCACTGTAATTTGCTTACAATGTGCACAAGACATTGTTCAAGTATTAGAATAATTTACAATGTACTTCCATACATTCCACCACAAACTAGCATGAAATATTTAAATCAGTAACAACATATGCTATGCAAAGCTGTCTTCTTTACATTCACATTTTACAGAGAAAGAGATGTACTTCTCAATACTGCTACTCTTGGAGAAGACATTCTTTATTCCTTACTTTTTAACTGCAGAAAAATAATACTCATATTTTACTTTGTTTTGTAAGGACACATGTGTCTAAGCCCTAAAGCACAGTTTGAGTTTTAATAATGAAATTGGATAATGGAACATTAATTTTTTTACATAGATGTACATTTCTGCTTTAGAGTAACTTCGTTCTATAAAAACAGTGCAAGCAGGAAATCCAAGTTACCAACAGAGACAGCTTTGTACACGTGCCTTATGCTGATCCTTTAAAGCATAAATCATTATCCTCTCTTGTCACTAGAAAAACATTTTGCATTTAACCTCCTTTTTCACAGGAGACACTCTGGAAGCAGGAAGTACATCCATCCCACCTGTGAGGTTCTCCTGTCCTACTGCCCTGAGCAGCTCACTTTGACAAGGAATTCTCACCTGTGTCCTCCCCAGGGCAAAGGAACATGTCCCACACCTTCAAGCCTCTAGAGGGGATGTACAGGATACTCTCAGTAAGCCTCAAAGGTAGGTAAGAATTTTAAATTAAACTTGCCTTTCTTTACCAAGTCCCCTATTCTGTAAGTTTTTTAATGCCTGAAAACTGATTTAAGACATTGAAAAAGTGTCCATTTAATGTGCTATTGGAAACCTCTGAGCGACTCTGCAATGAGTCCACACCATTCAGCAACCTCCAAAATGAATTTATTTTGCTTGTTGTAGTATTAGTTAGCTCCCTCCTAAAAATGGTGAGACCCCAACAACCCACACTGTGACAGTCTCCAGCTGCTGTAGGTATTGTCAGTTCTGCCAACAGTTGCCACACCAATTACTGATTAACATGGTACCAACAAAATACAAGGTGTTTTTTTTATGCTCCAGAAAAAAATGAAATCAAACAGCAGCACATTTTACAGAACTGCAGCTCTTTGGCTTTATGCTTTGCCCAATTTTGCTGACTCTAATTATCTTTAACAAGCATCTTTGGTGAAAAAGCTGACATCATGATTACACCAATGTAATCCAGCATGCTGCAACAACTGCAGCTTCTCATCTCTCAGGGGCCTGTATTTATGGTAGAAACAACCCCCTAAGCAACCAAAAGTAATATCCTGCACTGATGCTGCACTATCAGATCCCCAATACAGAGATGCTTCCAATACCTCCATCACTAAATAAAGCCAGTGTCCCAGAAATGGCATCTTTGGAGCCGTGGCAACAGAGAGAGGGACCATGGCCAGCTGGGATGAGGACAGCCCTGAGAAACCCTTCCCAGCAGGAAAGCTGGCAGCAGGGCACAGGTCCACTGGGGTCTGCCAGGCTGGACTACAGAGCCTTCAGAGCCAAGAAAGGTATGTTCCACTGGAATGAAATGTCTCAAGTGCTACATTTGTGCCAATACCAGCAAGTTTCCATATGGAGCTGCGCTGGACAACCAGGAGCAGCTCAGGGAGTAAGGAAGGCTAACAGAGGACCACAGCACACAGCCAAGACAGGGAGACAAAGAGAGTGGCTACCCAAACAGAGGAAATTATCTTTGAACATCTGAGCTGTCTGAAGTCCTCAGTGTTCTCCTCATAGCCTGGTCATATCACATTTTGTTTGATGTTTTCCACCCGCATTCTCACTTTGCAACATACCGTTCCCTTATTATGTTGGCACAGAAATGAAGGAGACTGCTAGCAGAAGAGAAATTAAAATCTTTGTCCAGTTCAACATAGACAAAGGATTTTATAGCAGACTGATCTGCAGACCGCGGGGATGTTTTCCTGGTTTTATTATTATTTGTTATTGTGCCGATTTTAAAAATATTTCTGTGCCATCCATATTGCATTTATACAACCCCATTTCATGTAAAAATTATTTTTCTTCACAATTCTTAGGCAATCAATGCCTAGAAAAATGAAGCTTTTTGAGTAAACATATACATGCATACACACACATATAACAAGACAAACGGAAGAACTTTTTGCCACCGAAAAATATGTCTGCATTGGTCCTTACCTGGGAGATGAAGTTCAAATGACATATTTATTTTCAAAAAAGAGCTATATATGAACCATAACAATCAATTATTACATTACTGCAATTTCAACATCTCTTTTAGTGAGTATCTTAGCGTCACCACAGCTCTGCACATGATTACTGCAAGCCAGTCACCAGGGACAGGAAGAGGCAGCTCCCAGCATATGCTCAGCCATTAAAAGAGGAAGTTCTTTATGTTTTGTCTCTCCCAGGCCACCCAGCCATCTGAGGCACATCTAATGGACTTAAGTTCCAGGAGTTACAAAATAGAGTATTACACACAGAAAACTGTATGTAAAGAATATAAGAATATTCATATAAGCATGTAAGAAAGAAAAAAGAAAATCTATTAGCCCAGCTTAAGCACCTAATTCTAGAGTACAACTGAGATTGTGGATCATGGGTAGGTGCCTAGCTAGATTTCTTTGCATATCTGGCACTAGTATCAGGCAGTAACACATCAGAATAGTGTTCCCATTACCTACAGCAGAGG